ATCGATAAAGAAAACAAAATAATAAATCGTTGTAAAGCGAACACCTAATAATAATAAACGTATACCTTCAAGTATATGTAATGATACAAAAACATGTTATTCTGATATTATTGATAAATCAAAATACATTAAAAAATTGATAGATTCATTAAGGACGGACACTCATATTCTCTTAAAATAATAGCAAATTTGTAATTTTTATAATTGGAGACAATTAATATGGTGTTAACTTACAATATTATAAAATTACTAGACATTTACATTTTTTTTTCACAGTTTAGATTCACAGAAGCTCAGTGCCAGCAGAAAAAAACTATAATGCACTCCACCCTTCCACCCTAAATTTTTAAGTTTAATAACTCCAAAAGTAATTATCCAAATGGGGTTATCGACCAGTATACTATTCAGATAATTATTCTTAGTTTAAATTTAACGTTAAAGATATACGTCACTAATATTTGATAGGGTTATGGAAAATTCATAAAACATTTGTTTTTACAAACTAACTAAAAACTATGTTTTCATCATAGTTCAAAACGGGATGCATACAACTAGTATTTTTTAAAAGTCGTTTTTATATTTTCAAAAAATCAACTTCTTGCTGCATCGTTCGTTTTACTCCAAAATCAAAAGGAAAATCAAATTTTGTTTTTCTTTATCTTATTTTACAACGTGTAACCATTTTTAATATCAATTTTTATTGTTTTTTTTGAAAATTTAACCGTACTTATTCCATCTTTAAGCTATGATGAAAACATTTGGTCTGAGTGTCCAATAAAAAAAGTTTTATCAGTCTTAAAAATACCCATTGCTTCGTGTTCCGCTCAATTGCAAAATATTTAAAATGACAGTGACCATAAAAGATGGTGGAAAATTTTCAACGAATTATGGGTCTCATTTTAGGCTAATACGGACTAATAAGTCATTAATGACAAGACTATGACATAGGTGTATACAGGTTTTTAATTGTTAGAGAGTTGGCATGTGGCATTTAAAAGTATGATTTTCTATGGAAGTATTATTTATCGAATTTTCGCCTAAACGTTAACTCGAAAACACAATTTTTTTTAGTATAGAAAAACTCTTGGGTTCTTCGATGTTCGTTCCCATTTACACTGTTTACATAAATGAAAATATACGAATAATTTTTTACACATTCAAAAGACGATAACAAATTCAACGTCTCAAGAAATACACGACCAACCCGACTTACTGACGATTTGCTAGAAAAATAAAAAATAACAATTTATGTGAATCATTTTTGGTTTTTTACTTCGATGCGGAGCTAAGAAAGGTTGAACTTTTGCTGACTCTAATTTCGAGAAAAAGAGTCGGATCGAGTTGAAATGTGTAAGCAATATTCATTTTGTACGTCCCTATACGTAAATAGTTCCAAATTACACCCATTTCCCACCTTCCTAGAGATGATTCAAGATTTTTTGTTTTTTAGCCGTAAATTTATGACCTTTAAGTTGAAAATTTGTCAGGAGTTAGAACTTATATGTATCCATAACAAACGAAAAAAAAATTCAGAACTACAGTTTTTTATTAATTAGTGGAAAACTGTGATTTTCGAAGATTTTGTATATTTTAACATAAACACCTTAAATCAAAAAAAAAAATGTATCAAATCAATAAAACATTTTTATTGACATCTATTGAGAATGATACTATTGAGTTTCGAGTTTGAGTTACTCAAGTACCAGTTTTTTATTATACAATTTTTTTTAAGGTCATTATAATTTTTTCCCCTTTTGTAAGAGAATTTAGGGAGGGGTAATTGTGGAATTTCTTACAGCAACCGGTATAATATGCATAAATTATACATACAAATTTAGATATACAATTTTTATTTTTATTTTTAGTAAAATAGAATTTGATTAAACTTTGAAGTTTCTAATATCAATTAAAAGAGACGTAGCCTTTAAATTTTTTAATTCAATTTCTACATTAAATTTAAAGGATTTTAACGACTTTTTTTTAATTGTCTAATTAGATTAATTGGATTATTATTTTTATCTATAAATATCCTCGTTTGAAAGGCTTTGGTTAAACGTCGGTTTTGTTGACATCTCTAATAGCTGTGTTTTTGTTTACTGTTTAAATTTCACTATTTTATGTTTTTATTTACTGTAATATAAACTTTAGCTAAAACATAAAATAAAACCGACGATTTGTATCGTGCAAATTTTTTTTTTTTAATTTCATTAAAATATTAATTATTATATAATTAATATACTAGCACATTTTATACAATGAAAACTCAGTGCATAAACTAAAACCTTAAACATCATATGGTTTGGAAACCCAAATTAAGGCATCTGGTAAAAGAAATGTGTACACGTTAGAAAATAATCGTTCTACAATCTTAATCAATTCCTACAATAGCCGTAATGCTTTTTAACGACTTTTTTGTTTTATTAGATAAATTGGATTATTGTTTTTTTTCATATGAATATCCACGTTTGAAAGGTTTTAGTTAAACGTTGGTTTTGTTGATACCTCTAATAGCTTCGTTTTTGTTAACTGTTTCAAATTTACTTGTTCCTGTTTTTGTTTACTTTAATATAAACTTATTTAACTAAAACATAAAACAAAAACGAAAATGTACGTCATACAAAATATATTTTTTTTAAATTCCATTCCAATGTTAAGGGAAAAATACAGTGTAGATATAGGACAGTTATTAGTAGGTATAGTTTTTTATGATTTCATCGAAGGGCAGCGTCCAATTAAGACTTACAATAATTATTGTATTGTTTTTCATATTTTAATAACGACTAAATAATTTATTAAGATTTTGGCATTCTTCTAAGAAATAGTCGAATTAATTCCAAAATTTTTGTGGAATTTAAACCGTTTCCATTAAAGGGATAGAATTTTTTTTCTTCATTTCACTTTAACAAGAAGCTTTAAGGATTTAGGAAATAAAATATGTTATAGGTAAGAAAAAAAAAAAGGAAATGCTGAATTTTAAGCAATATCATATCGTGCAGAGAACAAAATAATTCGTGTTTCATGATTAAGTTTTGACTTAATATCATGTCTTCTTAATTAATAAGAAGTATCTATATTTTGAATATATGCACGTTAAGAAATGAATATTACCGTTAAACCGGATCGGTAAATAATTTTTTTTTTACATTAAATTATTTTTCATCGATAAAAACATGAACATTTTCAATAACAAAGTCGGGTATGAGTTGTTCAGTTTATTTTTTTTTCTATGTGCAAGAATATTAAGTATAAAAAACCCACACAGTGGGGTCGGGGCATAGCGGTACACGTTTTTATTTTGTGAACAACTGTTTTACAGGCGACGGGTAATCTTAGACAATCAAATACACCAACAAAATAGTATTTTACAAGTTGGATATTTCAAAACGCGGTTTGATACTTTGTAATTTAAGCAAATCGGTATCGTTCTAAAAAGTTCATCCCTTCTCATTGAAAATCGAGAAAAAAAAATTAAAAATTAACTTATTGTATATCTTAAACTTACGGCGAGTAGTTTAAGTATAAAAGTTCGTTTATACAAAGATTAAAGTAACAGAGACGTATTTTGGCACAAGTGCGTATCTTCGCACACGTTTTTCATTATTTACATCAAACCTTGGGGTTTTGTTTGTACCATAAAACGACCGAGAAACTATTAAATAAATACTAAAACTATTAATTAAATAAATAAGTTATAAGTAGGCAATGTTCCAATAATATTTTGTACATAGTAATAGGGAAACCAACCCGCTAAATACACAAACAACATGATTATATTATCCAACGTAATAAACTGATTAGCAAGACACTTAACTAATCTATTGCTCGTAAGAAATGATTAATTTGAGATATTATTTTTGATAAGTGTGTATTTTTTTTATACCCCTCCAAGACCGGCTATAAAAAGCGAAAAAAGCGTTAGGACGCGGAGTTGGGGTTTGAGGTGGGGATGGGGATGTTAATGGGGTGGGGTTGGGGTGGGAATAGGGATAGGGGTGAGAATGGAGTTGGTATTAGGGTTAGGGTGGGAATGAGAGTGGGATTTGGGGTGGTAATGGGGATGAGGTTGGGAGATAGGGGTAGGAGATAAGGGTAAGAGATTTGGGGTAAGAGAAAGTGATTAGGGGATAGGGGTAAGATATAGGAGATAAGAGATATGTTGTACGTTCAACGTTCTAATTAGATATAAATGATAAATTCAAAAAAGTTTAAGGGCCCAAATTCTCTATGAATTGTTGTTTAAAGCTAGATATTAAACACAACAATTTAGCCAGAAACTTGATGTTTTAATATTATACTAACTTGTTACTGCTTCTTAATATACTATATCATTATCTATAATTCCATCACTACTTTAAATTTATTCGGTACTTCAACGAGACATGAAAATGATCTTTCGTGGTTGCAGACTCGACTGAAAAACTTTTTCGGTTATGCACCACAGTTAATTCCCACCCCCATCCCTATTCCACCCCCAGTCCAACCATTTCTAGGTTAATGTAGAAATCGACTAATTGGATTTTATTTAAAATTCTGTTTAAGTCCTATTTTATTTACTCAAAATTGTCTTGTTGAAGTAAATGAAACAGTTATTCAACAGCTCTGGCACGTAACTGAGCGAAAAGAGTTACCAAAAAACCGTTACGCTGTTATCTGATAAGAGATAGGAGATAGGGGTAGGGTATAGGGTGAGAAATAGGGTAGGAGATTGGGGTAAGAGTAAGATATAAGAAATAAGAGATATAGGGTTGGGGGTTGGAATGGGGTTGAGGGTGGGAATTAGCTCTGTCACATAACCAAAAAAAGTGTTACCAAAAAAATGTTTAAGCTGTTATTTTTAATTATGTGTTGTATTTACAACGATCAAACTAGAACTAAATAATAAATTTAGAATAGTTTAAAGGGCCAAATTCTCTATAAATTGTTTCAGGCCAGATATAATGAAAACACAAAAATATTAGCCAGAAACTTGATATGTTACTAGCCTGTTACTGTTTACTAACCTTAGATACTAGCTTGTTACTGCTTGTAATATACTATTTCATTATCTATAATTCCATCACTACTCTAATTTTTTTCAATACTTCAACGAGACATGAAAATGCTCTTTCGTGGTTGTAGACTCGGCTGAAAAACTTTTTCATTTGTTTACTTATTGTACACACGTTTTATCTAAAAATGCACATTATAATGCAAATTTATGGCTACTTCGTGAACGGTTTTGACGTTAAGGTCTGAACAATTTTAGAATGATACTGTTTTGCTTGTATTACAAAGAATCAAACCGCCTTTTGAAATATCCATCTTGTAATATACTGTTTTCTTGGTGTACATATGTGTATGATTACTCGTCGCCCGTGAAACAGTTGTTTCTAAAAATAAAAATGTGTACCTGACCCAATTGTGCTGGCTTTTTATACTTAATATTATTGCACATAGAATAAAAAATAAACTGAACAACTCATACCAGACTTTGTCATTGAAAATGTTCATGCTTATATCGATGAAAAATAATTTAATGTAAAAAAAAAATTATTTACCTTAAAACCTTACCGATCCGGTTCAACGGTAATATTCTTTTCTTAAAGTCCATATATTGAAAATGTAGATACTTCTTATTAATTTTACTTTATCTGTTATTTGCTTTTAAAGAAAATTTAAATTAATTTAAGTTCATTTGTTTACTTATTGTACACACGTTTTATCAAAAAATGCAACAATGCACATTATAATGCAAAATTGTGGCAATTTCGTAAACTGTTTTGGCGTTTAAGTCTCAACAGTTTTAAACTAAAAAATAAAGAAGCAATGTGGGGTCAGGGCTCGTAGAATATGGACATATTGTTGTTATTCACAATTTGTAGACAAATATAATGTTGTAAATAGTAAATGTTGATTATTATTTACAATCAAGGTAGGTTAGGTAGCATAGTAGTAAACTTGCTGAGGTTGATTAAAATTCAAACTTAACACAGTTTTGTGATCCTAACCATAAACTAAACCGAAAGTCGTCAAATCAATCAGATCAATTCGTTCTAGATTAAACATAATTAGCATAAGGCACATTGTTATAAATTATTGCAGAAAATAATTAGTATATTTCAATTAGCTATAACACATCATAATATAATTTACGTTACTCGAATTTTAGTATTTCAATACCGTTAAGGTTGTTTTGAATTTCAATATTTGTAACCGTTGAAACAGTTTTTGTAAAACCATAGTAAAATAAAAAAAAAAATACTGTTCCGACGAATAATATATATATTTTATTTAACAGTAGTGTGTAGAATAAAATAGTCTAAACTCCGCTTTCCAAGTAAAGTATGTACACGATAAATCACAAAAAAAAAAAACTGAACCTGATGTGTACATAAATGAACATAGTTACACAACAAAAGCCTATTAGAATTCTGATTTTCTAGTTGAAGTATAAGCACAGCCATAAGTCGCAAGCAGTACATTTAGTTTTAATAGCTGAACAAGTCGTTTGTTGTCCAAGAACCTCTTACCAAGTCCACAATTTAAGTAAGTATTTCTATTTTTTTTTTTAAATCTAAAAAAAAAATTTTAATTTCAGTTTTTTATTTAAAAAAAAATAAAAAACAAAACATGTTTTGGAAAATTTTGATTTATTGAATATTTTGGGAGTGAAAAGTGAAAAAAGTTCCTACGAATAACATTAAAAATAATACAGGGGCATTGTGAGGACGCAGTGTGCCACGCGGCATCTGAGGTTAAGCTGTGTCTGTTACTGTTTGATCCAGGATGGGTGACCACCCGGAAAACTTTTCATTATTAAAAAAAATAGAAATAAATCTTGGCCCACTTCCGTTATTATACGAAAATATTTGATTTAAGACTCTGGTTTTATGGTAAAAAAACTTTTATTTCTAGTTATTTTATTATCCATTGTTTATCATTGTTTTACCCAGTCCACATTTCAGAGACAATTCTATAAATGTTGTTGGTTTTTTTCGTTATTTGGCTTGAAGTGTAGTTACGGATGTGTATTGGAAATAGGCGGTTTAAAATCGTTTTCATAATACCTCACAAAAGTAGATCTCTTATACATGCACAACCAAGATTAATAGAAATTTAAGAAAATATTTCATCCGTAAAACTCAAAGAAGAAACATTCATCAAAATGATTTAGATTTTCAAACATAACTCAAAAAGTTTGAACAGTACAAAGATGAAAAAAAATAACTGTGCAGGGAACTAAATTCCTATATGTGTACAATTTTATTTAAAGTTTTTTTTAATCGTTAAAAATAAAATTTCAAAATTAAAAACAATTTTTTTTTCTTTTACTTAATTTTTAAGAAAAATATTAGGTAGTCATGTTCCAAATGAAAAAAAAATTGATTACAAAACCACAAAAAAACATAAGAATCGGATTACAGAAATTTGCAAATAATGATTTCTATATTTATAAGAGCGTAGCTGCGGTCTAGAAAATAAATGCCGATATTTAAGGAAGAAAATAGTTTAAATGTTAAAATTTACGAAACATCTATTTTCTTATTTGACTTACGAAAAATAATTTATAATTTATTATTTGTTTGATAATTGTAAACACATTATAAATCTAATATAAATATTAAACAAAAAATTGGTTTTCACCATCCGTGTTTTTTTGTTCATCGTTCAAAAAAAAATTCATGTTTTTCATTTTTCATGTTTTTAAGTTGTTAATTTGGACGATTTTAAAACAAAACGCTAAAATCAATTTAATACTTATAATAGCTAAATCATTTTGCTGAATATTCCTTTTTTTACTTGGACGAAATATTTTTTAACATTTTTTTTTTCTTCATTATTAAGACAGTTATATTTTATAATTTCATCAATTCAGCACATCATAGTCTAATATTTGAAAATATATGTTAATACTTTATATAACGGTAACAACTATATTTCTAAGGATATTTTTTTAAAACGGATTTGATATTCTCTAAAACGTTATCTTCATTCCACTATTAACTCTCTAAATGTTTCGCTTTAAATCCTCATGGGTTGAATAGGAACCATTATGCGTTTGACTACGCATAATGGTTCCTATTCAGTTTAGACGCTTGAAAATTAAGTGGATATAATGTCTGACTTTAATAACAGCATTTAGCTGAATACTTTTACCTAATTTCTATTTTGAATAGTGTAACCTAAGTTTTTTACTATGCAATATAAATAGTCAACAGACTTATTTTTATTTTTGTCAATCCTCAGTATAATGAGATTACTGTAATTTTGGCCAAATAATCAACCTTTCTAGTTTAATTTCTAACTTCTATACAAAAAATTCAGTTAACGGTCTAGAAAATATTGTGAGGGTCAAGTAGAAAAATATTCATACATATATTCGTATATATTTATAATATTAAAATGGCCCCGCAAAACTATAACCTTCTCATCTTTAAACCGGAGGTAACTGTGACTAATATAAAATGTTTTTTTATTTATTATTATTTGCAGATAAAAATGAAACGCTTCTGTTTATTAATATCTTTATTCTTTGTGGAAGTTTTGGCACCTTATGGTAGTTATTTTATTATCACAGTTATAAACTTAAATTAGTTAAAATTTAAAAAAAAATCAATATTACACTTTTTTACAGATCTTTATATGAAACTTGTGCACCTTACAAGTCAGTAACATTTTTAATTAAAAAAAAAATGTTTTGTAATTTTTTTTAATTTAGTGTTTTTATACATATTTTTAAAATTATGTGTCACAGCTATTGGCATCAAACTTGCTTACGAAAAGAATGATTTAACTGTAGGAAGTAGATCTAGATTAAGTAAGATATTATATTTCAAATAATATGCTAATATATATAGAAGTTTTGCCTTACCTAATTTGATTTAATTTTAATATTTTAGTATAGCAAAAATCTTCATTTGTTTATTCTAGATGGATTGGAGTATCTAATTGAGACAATGGTTGATAATGTCAATAATGACCCGACCTACCAAGATTTCCGTAATAATAGTTATAATAATGATAAAAACATCAAGATAAGAGTAGAAAATTTATTTGAAAATTATATAAAAACTTCATCTCATACTCACTTAATGCAACTGATGAGTTTTATAATTATTTTATTTTTTACCGAAATTTGTATAGAAGCTTTATAAAAAAAAACTGATGTTAGCTCTACCAACCTCGTCTGATTAGTATATTTTATTCTCATCGCCTAAACTACATCAACTAGTCTATAAAAAATAGTTTTTTCTACTTTGACTTTTGTCTTATAATTTATATATGAATAATGTAATAACTAATTATTTACTATAGCAAATTCAATTCAATATCATTTATTTATTTAATGTTAATTTCAGGCATAATTTGTTTTTTGATGGCTGTACCGGGTAATAGATTTTGTTAAATTTTATAAAATTATTTCCAATATTTCATATATAATAGAATATAAAATAAAATGATGTAACATTAATTTTTGTATTGTTAATTTCAGACCATACAGAAATTCTCTGGGGAAGAACAGGTAATACATTTCATTGCACTTTATGGAAGCGTTTCCAAGCAGTTGTTTGATATTCTTTATGCACACGAGACTTTTGTATTAATTTCAGAACCTCCAGTTCACCTAATGCAAAATAAAAACCTTTTTTTATATATAATATTTATTATACTTATCGCATATTTATTATTTATAATTACTTTGAGAATAATATGTACTTGTTGACAAACACCAATATGATATATCGGTTTCAATAATAAAATATATGTGGGTACATTAAAATGTATTTTGTTATAAATTTTAGATGTCAATGATTTATTCGACAAAATGCTTGCTGACTTACTGAGTGAAATAGGTAAATATAAAAAAGAATGTATTTTTAAATTTAAAAAAACTATATATGTTTTATGATTAAGTTTTTAAGAATCGTTCGAAATAAAATTTAAACCATTTATTTAAAAATTGTTATAAGATATAAATGTACACTTATACAATAATATTTTGCATTAATTATAATTGATTTAATTAACCTAAGTTATAGAGTGAATGTTATGTATAAAATATATAAACCGGGACTTT